GTAAAAAAAAAAAAAAGAGGTAATATTAATCCTTCTTTTAAAAATAAATATTTAAATTAAAAGCGGGGGGCAGCAGTACTTATAGTTATTATTACAAATTGTATTTCAGTGACGATAGTACAAAAATAATAATATTTTCCTTCTAGTTTAATTGATATTTGATGATGATTTAGATATGATTAAAAAAAAGGAGGGCGAAGCTGAAAATTTTTCTTTCTTTCTCTTAGCAAAACAAATATTAAAAATAAACGTGGCTTGCTTTCGGTGTGGTGTGTCTTTCCAATTTAACGTGGGGTTATGTATCCTCTCTGCAAACAATAAATCGGGAGGCGGAAATTTTGAATGCGCAAAAAAATTTAAAATACAAAGGAATTTAATGTGAGGGTAATTAAAATCAGTATTCTCTTGATAAATGTTTGTTTTGTTGACTGTGCTAATATAATAGTATATTCCTATGTGTCTATGTCTATTACCTTCTGGATAAATTGTTAAATAGCTTGTTTATCTCTTTCTTTGTAGCAAGTAAAATTGAGGGAAAATGGTTTAGTTGAAGAGAGATAAAAAATTTAAAGGTTTGATATATATATATATATATAAGGTATAATTAGATATGGCTAAAACTTATCGTGTATATATATACTAACCAGATAATAAACAAAAGAGAAAAGATTTATCGACCTTTTGACATAGGAGAGAAACTTGAGTCTCTGTTTAAGAACAAACAAATGTATATTAATGCTGCTCTCTATAGCTAATTGTCCTCATTTCACACTATGAAAATAAGCCTTGTTCCTAAGAAACCTTTCACCGCGCGAACAAATTCCGTCAATAATTTCTTTGGACGCCAAATGTTTATTTTGTTTATTTGTTTATTAGTGTAAATTATACAGAAAGCAGCGTACAACTTTCTCGCTGTCTGTCTTTCACATGTGTTGTCCCTCATTGTCATCGTTATCTTTTTTGTTTTCTTCAATGGCAAAAGAAAAAACTCGCGTTTTCCTCTCTTCTTTGTAGCGTGGAGGGCCCTCCACGTAACCAGAACGTGTGTCTCTTGATAGCAAAAGAAGAAATGTACGTAGAAGCAATAAATAAATAAAAAATACAAATTTTATTTCTTGGCTCTTCAAATAAAATTTTCATAAACCCGAAAATGATTCGGGTTTAACCGTTGAATCCTACGAGATTTGTGTTTCTTGACTGGGTTTCGCAGTGATTGACTGGGATCGTGGCTGTGTTCTGTATTGTTTTGTTTTTTTGACTGTGGGCGTGTTGCGTAATTCCCATTGAAACAGAAAAAGAAGTTCCTTTGGAATGCGTTTTGGTTTGCTGTGTGGGAGCAGATATTAGGGCTCAGAAAGTTTTATCTGTTTGTTTGTTTTGTTTTTTGGGCGGAGGGGGGGCAAGATGTAATGAGTGATGTAAAGAATATATATGTACATTATGTTCTTTGAAACAAATAGAAAAAAAGGGTTTTTAAAAGATTTATATCATTAATAATGGCTCGTATGTATATAAATAGTCGTTAACTTTGAGTTTATATATATATATATATGTATATATGCAATCTCTTCTTAGTCTTGAGAAAATAAGGTATCTTTGATGTAGAATAAAAAGAAACTACGTTTAAGTATGTCTGCGTATTTCTTGAAATCTCTAGTTGTGAATTAGAGATATACATTCGGTATAGGTTGTATACCAAGTCTATTTGGAGGACGATATACATGTCCTTTCCCAATATGGTTGGGTTTTATTAATTGCATTCCACTTATAATTTTTTGACGTTCACCCTGGTAAGCTTTCAAACTAATATTCCTGACTGCCTTATATTTTTGAACAAAGTCACTGATGTAATTAGCACTTGAATCATTATGAGGAGCAACCAAAATTGTCTGCTAATTCATTATAAAGATTCTCTATCCGTTTCTTTGATTTTGCTAAATCTAAAATTTCAGATTTAATTAATGTAAGTTCTTTTTCATCTTCTTCAATTTTACCATTTTTCAAATGGCTTCTCTTCAACACCTAATTTGATCATGTAAAGTTCTTCGTCAGTATACATACTTGGAAAGTTTTACTGCTAAATGTTTGAAGTTGTGAATATTGTCTGAGATGTTGTTGTCTTATGTACTCTTAACATATGATTAGTCTATATAGAACAGAAAACCAAAACCAACTAAACGCGATGAGATCCCATTTGTTTACATTGTTTTGCGATTCAAAAACAAAATATACGCGAATATTTCACGAGAGGAGGGTTTCGCTTCACTTCGCTTCAGTTGGGGGCATCTCAAATATTTTATACAGTGGTTTGCTCGTTTTCGTCGCTCAGTTCCGACAAAATTGTCTCTTTGTTTGTTTTTTATTAAAACTTATATGTGATATTACATAGTTAATAATAAAGCATCCAAATTTTCTTGTGTTAAATTAACATTCAAATTATCTCTTTCAATTGAATTAATTAAATTTATTACTTCCATCTCACGTTGAACAAAATCTAATTTGACGTCATTTAATTTATTATCAATTTCATCATTTTCATTAAAAATTGAATTAATTTCATTTTTACTAATATTTGTTAAATTATCTAATTCAGTTAATCTTAGATAAACTGAATCGTTATCATTAATTTCATTATTATTAATTGATTTTCTTTGAATATATGATGGTGGTGGTAATGAACCGTGATTAGTAGTTGTTGTATTAATTTTTGACGTTGTTGAATTAATCCTTGAATTATCATTATGAATATTTTGTGATGACGGATTATTATTGCTGTTATTATTATTATAATGATGGTATGGTATATTCTTATTGTTTTGATATGATTGATATGAATGTGGGTACGCCATATTATTCTTATGGTAATTATTACCAGAATGAGATCTATTCATATTACTATCGATTTCCGCAGCTAATTCATTATCTATAATTGTATTATTAGTGGTATTTGTAGTAGTAGTAGTATTACGATGATAATTAGAATATTGAGAGTAATGTCTTGTATTGTTGTTATTACTATTATAATAATTTCTATTATTGCTATTCATATTATCATGATAACGTTGTTGTGGTTGTGATGTATAATCATATGGTGAGTTGTTACTGCTATTAGGATTACTATTACCATTGTAATTATGGTTATAATTATAACGTCCTGCACGTATGCTATTATTATTTGGTCTCACATTTTGATATCTTGTTGAAGTATTATTGGTACTATTATTGTTATATCTTCTACCTTGATAATATTTATTAGTATTATCAGGATTATTCCCTGAATATCCACTCATCTTAGATTTAAACCTTCTTTGTTGTCAGTGTTCTGTTGTATTGTTTTTACCTTTTTGTTTTGGCCTATTATAAATTATGTAATGTTGCGTATGTGTGCATGTATGCTTCTTATATTTTTCCACTGAATAAAATATATAGTTGCTTCACTTCTAAATTTTGTTTTTCTAAATTTTTTTTTCTCGCCAGAGTACTGTTTTCGCCTTCACTTGGCCGTACCACCATTTATAGTACGTATGTTATACCCTAATGCTACATATGGAACCTGGATTTTAGGGTTTATGTGATTGATTACTTAAGAACAAATTCTTTTGTATTTGATTTACCCTTTATTTTGACATTATTTTTATTTTTGAAGTTTAGATTTGGTCATTCTGGTAGTGGTCCAGTCGATTTTTAAACTGGGTTCCCTTTAGGGATGATTTAACTTACCTATTTAGTAATATTATATAGTGTTGTACCTTTATGGTACTCGGATTAGGTACCTTCTTTTTTTATTTATTTATTTATTTATTTATTTATTTGCTGTTACCTATGTAGATCTGAGAAGGTAGAAGGGTTGTTCTTCTTTCTTTGGAAAAAATTTTCCTTATATATAAAAGACAACTAATTGATTCATCATGTAGTTGTTAATTCACTTATTTTATTTCTACATATATATATATTCTTTCTTTCTTTTTTAATTTCTGTAGTATATAGAACAAGAAGAAATATACCTAATTGTATTTGACACATTCTAATAGAAATAATAAAAAAAAACGTAATTAATTGAAAACTATTTTAAAAAAAAAATAAAATTAAATAATCAAAGAAGAAGAAGAGGAAAAAAAAAGCTTTAATTCATTCACTAATTCTACAAAATTAAACTAATATAATTAATAATAATAATCTCATACTTCGTTATAAACTTGTGTGTTTTTTAATAATTACTAATACTTTTGTGAAAAAATATATACATTTACAAAAGGAATAATCAATTGCTTCAAAAAAAAAAGAAAGAAAATAACAAATTAATAAACTTTGTTCCTAAAACATACATTCAAATAATTATAATCGCTAATTTTATTTTATTTTTTCTCTTACAATGACTAAGAATTTAATATCCCATGCTAATATAGCTGCTAATAATCCTCCATGTGTGGATTTTCCCGATGGTGTCCAATGGACGGATTTTCCAGAGTCTCAACGTAAAACCATTATTGAATGTTTAATGGTGACTCAAAATAATAGACAAAATGGAAAATCATATGACCATATTCCTTGTAAATTTTTCAAAAAAGGAAAATGTCAAGCCGGTAGAACTTGTCCATTTTCACATAGATTGGATTATGATGAAGCTTGTAAGACTCCATGTTTATTCTATTTAAGAGGTGAATGTAAATTTGGTGACAAATGTTTAAATTTACATGAAAAATTACCAAAAAATGGAATTAAAGCATTAAATTCAAATCAGAACAATAATAATAAATGGAATAATTCCGATATTAATGGGAATGCCAATCTAACAACACCTACAAGTGACGCTAATTATATTATCGCAAATGGAAACCATAATGGTACTCTGACTAAGAATTTTACTCAAGTGAAATCATCTGAGCCAATTTATAAGGATAATATTCCAAGATACCATGATGTTAACTGCAATGGACAAAATGCTGGTCGTTCCGTACAAGAATCAGCCCCGATCACGTCCAATGGGTTTTCTAATTTGTCTTCAGAGAATTCAAACAATTATGAAGGTTCAACTTCAAATCCATTTCCTAGTCAACGTTCTACTGTCAATCTAGGAATGGATTTGGAGACTTCGATAGTTCCACGTTCGAATATTTCACCAGAATTAGAAGATTCAATTTCGAAACCAGTTTATAATTATTTTGCAGAACCAGAAGGTTTCCCAATTTGGAGTAAAAGCTCAGGTGCTGCTGTTGTTGGAGCTAATAATACACATGGTAAGACAAATTATTATAATACGAATTATTTTGATTTCAACGAACCAATTACACGTCCCTTACATACTACACCAACAGGGGTTTACGATGGTAATTCATTCATGAGAAAACCAACATCGCTAGCTATTGGTGACGTTAAATATTTCATTAATGGTAGTAACCAAAATACCACTAATAAAAATTAAAATTGCAGAACTTTTTTCACTTTTTGTTTTTTTGATCCTTAATATTCTTTCTTTAATTTACTTTTCGTCGTTGTTTTAATTTTTCGTTTTAATTTGTATCGAATCTAAATAATTTACCCTTTTTATTTATATATAATTTCGATAAAATTAGTTACTTAATTAATAATATTCTATTTTCATGTTTGATTGTTTGTTTGTTTGACATTACTATACAAAATAATATATATAGATATATATAGATATGAGTTATGAGAAAGAAGATAAGAAAAAAAATATGTGAATATGTTTCCTTTCTCTAATGCTTATCCCAATCGTCAGGTTTTTTTCTATTTGTTGAATCGTAAAATTTGGCAGTACATGAATCCTTCATGAATGTAAAATCTAAACCTTGGTCACAATGACAATTAAATTCTCTATAAGTTGCATCATCGACTGGACAATTATAAAAATTTCTACTAATTGAAGAAAATTGTGAAGAAGATGACATTGAATCAGTTGATAATTTAAATCCAATATTATCAAAGAAATAAATTTGATTTTTTCTTAATAATAAATTAATTGCCAATGTATGAACACTTGAAGCGGACCAACGATGATAATAAAATCCACCATCTTTATCTAATTTTTCAAATAAATCCATAAATGGTTTTGATCTGAAAAAATTTAGATTTGCTAATTGGAAACTTGAAACATATTGACATCTGTTATACTCGGCAGTAGCACTACCAATACCATTTTTAGCGGCCTCTTCTTCTAATTTTTTTCTTTTCTTTTCATCTTTTTCTTTTGGTAAATCTTTATATTCTGTATTAAATTGAAAGTTATTTTGACTAAAATCAACAATTTCTTTCTTATCTTTAAAATCATTTGCAAATTTTTTAAAAATATCCCATAAATTTTTAACAACTTCTTTATGTGGTTCTAAATACGATAAAGCAAAACCAAATATTTGATTTCTGTCTTGCATCCATCTAAATAAATCGTAATCAATATCACACAATAATTCTAAACCTGGTTCAATACGCCAATACCAATCGAAATCAATTAAAAATGGTTCTCTCCAAAGATATCCGACTAAATAATGATTGAAAGATCTAAAAAATTGAGAATCACCATATTCAATGTCACTCAAACCAATTTGAGAATCAGAAATTTTATTAATATCAATCCATTTTGGTACTTCATATAAATATTCATTATTTGCGGTTTCAAAATTTAATTCAATTGATTCAGGTACAAGTTCTTTAATTTGTTCAATAAATTCTGTATCAATATATTCACGACCATCTCTACTAATAAATACCCATGGATATTCAAACCAATTATTAAATTTTTTTTGAATGCTTGATACAGTCGAGTAAATAGTTTCATGATCAACGCGATCACCAGTTGGTTTAAATAAAGCCATCATTAAACAAGCTTTTGGTCTATAGCCTTCATTTGATAGAGATTCAACAAGTGCTCCTTGAGTAGTATTTTTTGGATGTTTTTTATAACCTGATTTTAATCTTTCTGATATAACTTTTTCCTTTAAAGTTTGTTCTTCTATTAGAATTTCAGTATCATTTTTAACATTTAATGAATTAATATTATTCAAAGAATCAGACTCTTCAAGTAAATCATCTTGTGGACGTAACCTTGAAGGTAAAGCACCCCCATTTGAATATTCAGATTCTAAGAAATCAAAATGAGTTATAGAATTATTACTATTCTTATTCTTATGATTGATATTTAATAAAACAGTCAATAAAATCAGTATGATCGCGATGAAACGAATATTTTTCCGTGCCAGATGCAATAGCTGTCTTGAGAATAACGAAGGATTAAACCCCGAATAACCTCCTCTACTCCTTATCATGGTCCTTTATTTTCTTTTTTTCAAATATATATATGTATATATATATCTGTTATCTATATCACGATATACAGGTATCTCAACATCAAATAGACAACTATCAGATTTAAAGAAACAAGACAGTGGAATCCCAATTATAATAATAATAATAATAATAATATCTATATATATATAAGAGTATAAAATGTAGCTAATATAGCAACAAAACAATCTCTTCAAAAAGGGAATGTTTGTTATTGTTTTCGTTGCCAAGAAACTATTTTTGGTTAAATTAATTTTTTTTTGCATTGTTTGTTGCATTCATTTTGCTTTTTTGGTCCACGGAAGAAATTTAACTGCCAGTTCGTTGCTAGTGATGTGCATGCCTGGTGAAGATTATGTCAGATGACAGTAATGAACAAGAAGAAACATGGATGTAGTTCATAATGTATAGAAGAGTCTGCCATGGTTGTAAGTATAGTGAATAAGGCACGTATAGACATACGGTACAGTTACAAGAGTACTTCTACCATATACAAATATATATATGTATATTTATATAGGTATATTCATGTTGATCGATAGTACTTAAATAAAGACACACTCCCTATGTTCCACATACTTTCCATTTGCAGCAAGCCAGACAAGACACAGATGCTCTTGATACCCAGACATATCTGCCTCTAAGCATTTGATTGTGGCACATCTGTCTTCTTCAGTCAATCCATTGCTTTGCAGCCAAAGAAAAAGGCAGCGATTTCAGGCACCTCACGCCGCGTGCTGTGGTGGCTGCGCACATTAAGAAAGCAAAAATTGTGGTGAGAGATTTTTGAGTTTGCTGAAAGATGGCAAAAGCCGATTTCTTTCTATTTATATTCAATTTAGATATATATAAAGCAGATAGCTTTGTAAGCGATGAGATATAACGATAACGAATAACAGAAGAAAGGGATAAACATATAGGTTTAATAACAGCTGTAAAGATACATTTCTCTATTTTTAAATATGGACATAAGATCACAATCAAGAACCCTCTCTAGAAAAGAACATAGCATTTATACATATCTATCAAATGATACTCATATACAAACATTGATAGATAATCCTTCCACGGAAGCAATATCTTTTGGTTTCCCAATATCCGCATTAGTTAAAACACGTCATTCTAAATCATATGGTTTAGATCCTCTTTATGAACCTTTATATAGGTACTCTTTGACGCAGGATGGATTTAAAGAGTGGTGTCCGTGACACCACTAGGAGAACTAGAAATATTTCTTCTTCTATTGAAAATGATGATGAAAATTCGAATTATCTAATTGAATTATATTGGGATATAATATTATTGCTAGAATCTCAATTTATGGTTTCAAATATTGATATTAGAAAATTTAGACAAAGTTTAATTAATAAATTTAGTAACAAAATTAATAATAAAAAAGATGTTTTACATAATTATTCATCTTTATGGAGATCAATAGGTGATGAATATTTTTTGTTATATTTACCAGTTCATTATAATGATATATTATATGCAAAACGTAGTGGCTCATCTTTACATGTTCCATTATCCAATCCATTAAAACTTTTTTCAAGCACAACTCAAGCAAGTTTTAAAGATTTATTATTAATTTTATTAGAATTTGCATTCACACATAATTGTCATTCATTAAGAATATATTTCCCAAAGGATTCTTCGCAAAATAATAATATTGAATCAATTAATAGTTTTAAAAAAATTTTAATGAATCTAAATTGGATTGGTGGGAAAATTGTTAAAAATGAGGATAGAGATTCTTGTTTGGAACAAATGAATTTCGATGATTTAATGACATCTGATGAAAAATTTCTTGTATTGGAATTTGAATGTTAATTCAAAGAAAAGGGAAAAAAAGATTATGTTTGGTTACGTTTGCTTACATTATTTTTTTTATTTATTTGCATACATATATATATATATATATATATATACTTAATAGTTAATTTTAAAAACAAAAGTTATATTCTTATGTTTCTATCTTGTTTCCTGTTTCTCTAATTATTATAATAGTGTCCTACTATATTCGCATTATTATGGCGCACACGCAGCGACAACAATATTGAATAAATTAATGTATTTCGTTTGAGCATCGTAATAATGATGATTCAAAAAACAAAACGATTGCATTTTTATAAACTAGGATACAAAGGAAGTGAAAAGAAACATCGATACCATCATTACTTGAGTCACTCGAAATATGTTTCACCTGGCTAAGGGACTATACGCTAATTGGAATAGAAAAGAACAATACTCAATTCTAATACTAGGTTTAGATAATGCAGGGAAGACTACTTTCTTAGAATCGTTAAAGAATCAATCATCTTTAAAATCAAAACCATTAGAAAAAATCACACCTACCGTTGGGCAAAATATTGCATTGGTCCCCGTACCGAATAAACCTAATGTATTATTGAAATTATGGGATGTTGGTGGACAAGAATCCTTAAGAGCTATGTGGCCAGAATATTATTCACAATGTCATGGTATAATATTTGTAGTAGATAGTACAGATAGTGAACGTATGGATGAATGTAAGAGAACTTTAACTTCTATTGTGATGGATGATGAAGTAGAAGGAATACCCATCTTAATGTTAGCTAATAAACAAGATAGACCTGATAGATTAGAGATACAAGATATTAAAGAAATTTTTAATCAAATTGCTGAACATTTGAGTGCAAGAGATAGTCGGGTATTACCGGTTAGTTCATTGACAGGAGAAGGTATCATGGATGCATTGAATTGGTTAGTTTTAAGATTAGAAAGAAATAAGAAAAATAGACCTCCTCAATATAAATGATTAAAACAAGCAAAACATATATATATATACACCTCTTCTTATGAAAATCTCATAAAATTTTACATAGTTTTTAAATATCTATATCTGCATACAATTAAAAAAGAAGATATACTTTCTTTTTATCACTTCGGTTTTTTGAATTTATTTGTACAGTTTGATGTGTATATGTGAATTTATTTATGTATTTATTTATTATTTTTTTTAAAAAATGTTTAAATAACATATCTACACTAATTAAATTCTTCCTTATGGTAAACCAAATAATTTGGTAACCCATATACTTCATAATTTAATCTTTTTGCCATCTTAGCAAAACCTTCTGTTTCAATTAAATGGTAGAATGGGAAACTTGGGAACATCGCACCATCTCTATGAACTTCAGCTTTCACTAATGTGCATCCACCACCAACACCATCTAGCATCATTTCTTCACTAATTGGATTGTTTTTATTATGGAAATAAGCCATTAATGGTCTATATGTGGCAATTTCTGCATAACCTTCTAAGATAATTTCATCAGGTTGCATCTTAGAGGCTAATTCTCTACCTGAATCAGATTCTTGCCAATTATTGAAATCATAAGGTCTTACAGAATCTTCTTTTTTCTCGTCATCATAATACCTTTGGAAGACATTGGCTGCAAGTACTGGTTTATCATGTGCAGTCATATCTTGGATTAAAGACATTGGTGTCTCGATAATATCAGCATCTAACCATAAAATCCAAGAAGTGTGTGGACCAATAGTTGAGAATAATAGTTCATTTCTTGCTAAAGCCATTGCAGAACGTCTTTCCTTTTGAACATTCAAAGCATGTCTTTCCTTTTCTTGCAATTTATCAAAACTTTGTGAATCTTGCTTTAAAATGGTAACTTTAGCAAATCTTTGATTCTTCTTATCACTTTGAACATCCTTAATTGCAATTTCTAATTTCTTTAATGCCTCTTCACCTGTTTTAGTTCTTGGAATAATAAAACCAAGCTCTATCAAATCACGAGGATAAGTCAAGTGTAAAATATTATCCCAATAACGTTGGTCGAAGGATTGTAAAGGAGTTAGAATCAATACACGTTCTTTATCAACAGCTGCATCTGGAGTAGAACGTAGTTTATTCAAATCATAGTGTGCAATATGTCCCTCTGGGATGATATCTTCAACACGGTCATTGAATAACCAATTATGTTGAGTCTTGTATGAATATCTAGGCATTTTAAACCTACTTGTGAATGGGAAATACCATGTATGTTCAATTTCATGCGCCCATTTATGATTTCCTAATGGTAAACTACCAATCCCTAATATGGAGTCATCTGTGCGGAATACTACAAAATATACTGAGACTAATGCAATAAAGGGCAAAAGTAATGTTATTACAGGATTCTTCTTAATTTTATAACCTATGAGTGATAGAGAGCCCATATTTTTTATGATTTCTTTAAGTTCGATAATGAGAATGGATGGAAAAAGAATGCAACGAACACAAGTCTATATCTTGTTAAAACAAAAAAACTCTTCTTCACCACTAAACAAATATATGAATAGAACTGTAACTCACTAATAATGGTTAAGTGATGGCTTAAAATATTGCGACACTTTCAGTTTGAAACTGTATATTTAGATTTCCATCTATCTTTCTCTAGATTGTTTTTAAATTTTGGTTTTTTTTTTTCGTTTTGCAGTGAGATTTTTTTTTTTTTGATATCTTTTTTTTTTTGCTTCGGCTTCTCGCACGTCTGAGGGAACAATGAAAGAGAGGAATCATGAGGAAACAAGGCAAAGTACAAAGGTCACAACAGTCAACGATAAAAGCAACTCGTTGGACGTGATGTTTCAATGAGAGAGAATGTGATTTAAAACGAATTTACCTAATTGATATCTTACTCTTACTATATTTTAAAGAGCATTATCCAAAAACAATTGGGGGGTATGTATATGTGTGTATAATTCAATATGTATGTTTATATATCCTTTTCCAGTTCGCGGGATTCTGTCCATATCTTATTGCAAATGCTCAAGAACATCTTTCTATCGATTGCTGGATTTGTTGCAGGGAATTCAAATGAAAACTTGTTTTGCATGATTCTGATTTCACCTTGCATCATCTCCGGAGGCGGTGGGCGTCTTGTAAATATTGGTGTTGGGAGAGCATCGGATTCTATTGCAAGATCAGCTTCTTCTTCCTCTTCTTCTTCATCGTCATCATCTTCTTCTTCTTCGACATCACCTCGATCAAAATGTTCTTTGTGAGGTGAGCTATTTTGTTGTAAATTTGGTGGTTGTGGGCGAGGTTGTTGTGGTTGTTGGGGATGTTGCTGTTGTACTTGATGGTTATGAAGCGTACTATCTATTCCTTGGTAACCTTTGCTTAATAAACTTGATGAACTACTATCAATGGTACTTTGATTCCTGAAATATGGATATGTTTGTGGTGGAAAATTCGGCAGCATTGCTGATCTTGGTCCTATGTTCATATCCACCGGCACAGGAGGTTGATTTTGTGGTTGTCCCATTGGTATTGGCATTTGTGGAATTGGCATTTGCATAGGTACATTATCATTATACATATATGGGTACATTCCCATCATCATCATTGTAGCCATATATTGTTGTTGTTGTTGTTGCTGTTGTTGATTATACAGAAACATGGCATTTAATTGTGCTTGTGCTTGTAATTGCGCTGGTGGCACAGTACCTTGTGATGGCCTCCTAAGTGTTGTGTTTTGATTAGGATAAGAATTTGGTGGATACCTTGACATTTTACCTAAATATCTAACTCTTGGTTTTGTTACCCCTCCGCTTTTAGTTGTAGTAGCAGAATAACGTCTGGCAGAGGCAGATTGTGGATCTAATGGAATATGAAGTTTATTATTGTTTTCTCGTATGGTATTATTGTTTCTATTTGATGGTTCAGGTGCAGAAGATGCCCCTGACGCGGTATTATCATTTTGAAGTTGTAAACCTAGAGGTGGTGGGATATTTGCTCTACGTAAAGAATTCCGTTTTGGTTTCACTTGTAAATCATTTTGTTTATTTTCACTTGATGGTGGTGGAGGTGTTTCAGTTATAGTAGGTGTGATTATATCTTCAACATTATTGTATCTTCTTGATGTAGCAGATTGTGGCATTGTTGTAGGCACGGATATAGGAGCTACATTTGAATTCATATTAGCTAATGTGGTGGCTGCATTAGATGTAGCACTATTATTACTACTACTCGTTGTTTCTCTTCCTGTATCTGCTCTACTTAATACGGGTAAAGCTCTGTTTTGTGGGGAAGGTGATTTCTGTATATTTTTATCTCTTAAAGGACTTGAATTTTCTTTCCCATTACTTGATGTTGAAGTCGAAGTTGTGGTAGTAGTCACTATGGCATCATCATTAACAGTGCTTGCTGGAATCTTTTTTTCAGTAGCCGTTACAGTTCCTGCTTCAGGCATATTTATCGATTAGTTTTTGGTGATATATCAATATGAGGATCTTCGATGTAATTAAAAGTAATATTCTATATATATACAAGTAACGAATAATCTTCCCTGCTAGTTGGAAATAAAACAGATAAACTATTAATAGATATGGACAACAAAAACAGTAAAAGTTAAAGAGATTGAGTGAAAAATCAAATGGAGAAAGGTCGTTAGAAACTTTTCCAAAATCGGTATGTTTCAATTATATTTTTTTTTGTTTTTTAATGGATTTTTGGTTCAACTGGATTTCGTGTGAAAAAAAGCGAAGAGCGAAATTAAAATCGAATAGACTGAGAGACAGGAAAGACTGTGAGTTTTGAGGTTATATAGAAGATTCTAATTGTTATATATATATATATATGTCAAAAAATGGTTACTTGTGAATATAATGCAAGATGGTGAACGATTGTTTGAACATATGTGGAGGAAGATTAGTGATGTTGCTTTGATACATTCTCTTTTCAATGTAGAAATAAAACATACTGTTAGTCTTGCAAAGGAAATACGTATATATATATATATAGAAGTAGCTAAAAAATTAGTAAAAGAATTATCCAAGTCCTAGAAGCATCGATATATATTTCCCATTTTCTTTGGTACTAACAGAGAAGCGTAGACAACGATATAAAATATGAAAAATTAAACATCATCTCTGAAACATATTTGAAACATCTGTAAACATTGAGAGTAACAAGAGGCATTGTTCTAAGATAGAGACTACGCGTTTCCACTGAAGAATGTTTACGATGTCTTCATCTCTCCTTTTCTCTTTGTGTAAAGATCGCTAAATGTATACGATGACAAGAATACAAACATGTTTTGTTATTTCATTGTTACGAATATAATACCAGATATCCATCTATATATATATATAGATGGATGGATCATCTCATGTTAATGACTGTCCTGTCCTAATCAAATCTCCAGTTCCTATAGAAGCAAAGAAAACAGGTGTCTATGTTTCTCTATTTCCCACAGAAATAGCCGTAGACCTTTCTAGTGTTATACATAATAAATCAGAAAACTGAAAGTTTTGAGAGACACAAATTGGGAAGGAAAGGTCTCCGGGCGAACCAAAAAAAAGTCATAATTTGTTAAGTAAGAGAGACACCCTTGAATCCATCAGCAGATCTAATTAAACTGATTATTAATAATAAAATGAACTAGTTTACTCTAAAAAAAACTGGGGAAGAGGTATTGTAGTTTATTCACTTGTGGTTGTAAATACAGATATATATATATATAAGGAGTTTTGAACTTAAATAGATCAGTCGTGTAAACTAGCTTTCAAAACAAAAAAAATGTCTAGTAAAAACTGTGAACAAATGAACGAGTATAAGGTGGTAGTAGAGTATAACTCTGATAGAATTGTCTCCTATTTACCTAATGGTTTATTCCCAAAGGGGATTTTAGAAAATTCGAATTATTTCAGTCATGTTGCTTGTAAATTGAAACAACTTGAAATTTCCCCTGTGATAGAATTTTATCATAAATCTAAGCAATGGAGATCACTGAATTCAGAAAAAGATTATTGTCATGCTGCTGTGACTTTACTTTCTACTCATATGCTTTTTGTGAGCATCAAAGAGAAAGATTATAAAGTTGATGAGGTTGGAGGTGTTATGGTATCTCGCGAATTGTTGACATCTTTAACATCACAAATGGCTCAATTGGAGTTATCTTTAAGACAAGAAAGATTACAGAAAACTTCAACTAAAGACGACATCTATTTTGATATTGATCCTCAAAATAATGAATTATTTGAATTTTATTCTAATATTAAATCTTCAGAAGATTTAGAAAATATAATGAAAAGTTATCAAAAATATCAAAATTGGATTCAAAAATTTAATAATGATGAAAAATATTTAGAAAATCAGTTAGAGAATATGCTGGTATTAACTAAACATCCAATTGTACCATCTTTATCCAAAGAAACTTCATCAAAGAAATTAGATAGTATGGAAAAACAGAATATTCCAAATAAAAATACGAATACCCATAATAATAATAACAATAACTATCCTTTTACATTAACTATCTATGAGAAAGATTTGAATTTTTGTTTTAAATTGAAAAATAACACTGATATATACTTTCCAAATAAATTGAATATTGTAACTAATTTAGATGGTGGATCATATGTTATATCTGTACCTCATGGGATAGGTCCACGTAATCAAAGAGTATTCACAAGATTTAAGAGAGAATTTGGTTCAGATTGTCAAATTTCAGATTTTATGTATTTTCAAATTAAAGATATAGATGAAAAGACTGTTCTATATGAAGGTATTAGAAGTAAATTTGATAATGAACAATCTATATTCAAATTAAGATCAGTAAACCATTTAACTCTTAGTGGAATAAATTTAGAGAAATTACAAAAACATAATTCAACTCCGTCACCACCTTCAGTGAGATCTTCCGTTGATGCTGGTGATATTATTTCAACTACAATTAGTAGTAATCTCAACGAATCTACAAGTGGACGTACCTTTGATGAATATGATTTTTTAAGTGAAACAGAGTTTGAAGATTACTAAACATGAACGCCAGTCCCTATGTTCTTTTTTTATATATATTTAAACTTTTCATAATGACCACCTAAAGAAACTTAAATAATTATATATATATATAGGTATGAAGAAATACATTTATTTAATGGAAGCAATAACTTTTTTCTGTCGTAATTTGTTGTATCGCACGATGGAATTCCGTACTTGTTCAGTTCCAAGCTTACATCGTTCATTAGAAAATGTTATAATAAAAAGAGCGACTAGTGCAAAATATGGGAATTTTAGGGTTGCTACATATTCATTTAATAAACTATTGAACGACAATGTTCAATTGTAATCTATCAAGAAATATCACTTTTAACGTTTTGTTTACAAAATTTTATTTTAGAAGTCACTTTTAGTAAATTGCAAACGTAGATATTTATATATATTTGTAAAAAAAACACAAATTATCAAAAAATAGATCGTTATCACTGTTTTCTTTCTTATATATACCAAAAAATGACTTTGATAGCAACATAAGCATTTATTTATTATAGTTGCTTCGTATTTCAAGTTTGCAAGACAAAACTTTATCTTAAATTAAGAAATATTCGAAATTTTCCTGGTTTCCCATCAGTCGTGCTATCCATTTAAACATCGAATGAACCTTGATTTGGTAAAATAGAGAATATCGTTATTAAATGTCTTTAAAGTTCCATTGTTTTCCTTTGAAAGACATGCGCGGTTATTTTATTAATAAATTGTTCACTATTCTCCCCAATCCTTGAACTCGGAGTAATATGTCGTTTGTTCGGAGTTTACAGAATTGAAATTAAAAGGGGGAATAATAGACAGAAATTTTAATAAAACAAAAGAATGAATATATTAATATCTAATATCAACAAAACTTAGTAATAAAGGAGAAGATCACGTCTATATATCCCAGACCCAGATCATTATCATCAACTTGAATATTTAAATACAAACATGGTTAGTTATTTCTCTGAGACACGCTATTATGCATTGTCATCCCCTGGTCAGAACCACCCTAAAGAGGATCCATTGACGGTATATAATACTAAAACAAGATTACAACCACATGTTGCCGATAGAGAACATGACTTATCTCGAATTCTGTTTTATACACATGCCCAGAATGAATTAGTAGATGCTACAAAGGAATTAACAAATTTATTGAATCAATTGGTTGTTTACCAGGAGGAACCATCTACAATTTTCACAACACAGAATTACTTACCTGGAACTATGGTACAGTTGATGCGAAGTAGAGAGAAGGCTAAACGGACATACAGAACTGCTTTGAGTTATACCTTTGAAGATGAAATGGAATGGAATCATTTGGAAAAATTATTTAATGATTTACAAGAGGAATTATTCAGAACTGATGAATTTTTATCTTTACATCCAGGTAGAGGTATATACCACTAAATTGAATATATTTAAACACACTCTAATGATCCATTGAATGAATATAACCGATAAATATATATATATATATATGCATTTTCAAAAAGTTACAAAATTGACGTGTGCCTAAAAACACATTACGTTCCTGATAATGACAATATAAATAAACAGTATATAGTTCCTTATAAAAACTTCATATGTGCATCTAGTGAATAACCAATTAATTTCGGATACTAAACTAAATGTCCTTAAATATTAGTCAGAAGGAGTTTAATATTTAAATATACCTTTAATTACTAATGCATCACTTTTCACGAGCCGGGTGTTCTTTAAAATTCTTTTTGTTTCTTTTTTGGTTTTTTTCCTACAATCTGAACCAAACGAAAAAAAAGAGAATTAAATTTTTATATAAGCAGGACAAAGGGACATCCATTACCATTTTCTTTTTATTTATTCCCTTCAAGATTAAAAACTAGATAATATATATCTATCTATCAAACAAACAAATAGTGATTATTAACCTATAAAGTTATTAATCATTTTAACCTGTTATCCAACTACACAATAATGTCTCAAGATCAGTTTTCAGAAAACTTAAAAGTTATTGTTGCTGAAAAGTTAAATGGCTTACCAAATTTCAACGAAGATGTTAAATATGTAGCTGAATATATTGTTTTATTAATCGTCAATGGTGGTACTTTGGAATCTATTGTTACTGAGTTGCGCTCTTTGTTCGATACTATTCCAGTCGAAGCATTATCTGACGTTATTCAAACTGCATTTTTCGCTCTCGAAGCTTTACAACAAGGTGAATCTGCAGAAAATATTGTTTCTAAGATTAGAGAAATGAATGCTGCGGAACAACAACAGCAACAGCCTCAACAGCAACAGCAACAACAACAGCAACAGCCTCAACAACAACAACAGTCGTTACCGGGCATTGCCGCTCCAAACGCTCAACCTGAGCAACCACAACAACAGCCTACTGTACCACAACCTAATCAACCTGCTCCATTAGTTTCTGCCTTCTCTGGCGTTGTTGCTACACCAGATACTACAAATGACACCATCATTCCAGTACAACCTCGTTTTTCTCAACGTGGAGGTGCTGTTGGTAAGAGCCGTAGAGGTCGTGGTGGTGCTCGTGGTGGCGCTCGTACTACAGGTAGGGGTGGTTATAGCAACAACACTGGTACTAACGACCGTTTTAACCCACTAGCTAAGGCTCTTGGCATGGGCGGTAATAGTAATGTTAACTACGTATCTAAGAAGAGAGAAGGTCGTTGTAAATTATTCCCTCATTGTCCTCTAGGTAGATCGTGTCCACATGCTCATCCAACCAAAGTTTGTAATGAGTATCCAAATTGTCCAAAACCAAGAGGTACTTGTGAATACTTACATCCCGATGAAGATCAAGAATTAATGAAGGAATTAGAAAAAACCCGTGAAGAATTCCAAAAGAGAAAAGATGCGTTATTGGCTGCTAGAAGTAAACCTGTTCAAACTGGTATTGTCATCTGTAAATTTGGTGCTGTTTGTTCTAATCCTGCTTGTCCATTCGGTCATCCAACTCCAGCTAACGAAGATGCTAAAGTTATCGATTTAATGTGGTGTGAAAACAACTTACAATGTCAAGATTCTAATTGTAAGAAAGCCCATTCTTCTGTCTCAAAATTAAGACCTGTAGCGGCTTTAGGTCATCCAGGTAAGAACAATGCAGCCATTCCCTCTCGTCCTCCAGTTGAGAAATCACTAGAACAATGTAAATACGGTACCCATTGTACTAACAAACGTTGTAAATATAGACATGCTCGTTCTCCAATTATGTGTCGTGATGGTGCAAACTGTACCAGAATCGACTGTATATTTGGTCACCCAATCAATGAAGACTGTAGATTTGGTGTCAACTGTACTAACGCAACTTGTTTATTCAGACACCCAGAAGGTAGAGTACTTCCTCAAAAGAAGAGCGCTCAACCACAACTAGAACAAGTCCCACAACCACAACTTGGTGAGGGTCAAGGTCTACAAAGTTCATGGGGTGGTCAACAAAATGTACCAACAAATCAAAGAATATTTGCTTTACCTGAAGGTTCACAAATTGAGAATGCTCCACAACAAGAGAATTTTGCAAACTCTGCTAATACTGTTCAAAATTCGTCTGCATTTGCTCCACAGGATAATGATGCTCAAATGGATTGAAAATAGTTTAAGGAATCCAAATTTGAACGTATTGTATTATATTAAGATGTTTCTTTTTCATTTATGAAAAATTCAATATTCATTAATGACTAAATCTAATAAACACTTTTAAAATTTAAAATAATATTTAAACTAATACTGAATTATTTAATAATAATAAAAAAAAAATTAAAAATAAAATAAAATAAAATAAAATAAAATAAAATATATATTAATTAAATTAAAATCGTTTGCATAAACGATTGTCGTATTACATTATATAATTCGTATTCTTATTTACTATTTTGGAGGGTATGTCTGGTTACTTAATTTGCGAAATATTTTTTGCAAATCGTAGTTCGTTCTTAATAGTGTAGCTGTAGTTGTAGTTGTAGTCTTGAGAACTCTGATCTTATATCTTTCTTAACGCCAAGCCAAAACAACAACAACAACATCAACATTATCACTAATAGTATTACAACATAATTTGATTTTGATGGCCACCTTTTCTTCTCGGTTTATACATTAAAATCTTGTTATATACACAAAAATTAAACGAAAACGCTATCTACTTTAAAAGTTATACAAATAGTTATAAAAGAAATATTGAGAAATATTTATTTATACAATTAGTATCTCTTCTTTTGGACATTAGTTTCATCAGCGTAAATGTCCATTGGGGAGATTGGTAATGGTTGTTCAGCCCATAGGTTTGGAGTTAAGAAACCGTAGGTGTTACCAATAGCAACGAAAGCAGCCTTCAAGGTGTTTTCTAGAGTTCTGGTCTTACCGTTGGATTGAGTGTAGACATCTTCAACACCAGCTAGTTGCATTAGCTTCTTGACAGCTGGGGAAGCGACGATACCGGAACCTCTTGGAGCTGGAATTAATCTAACAGTAACGGAACCACACTTACCAGTAGTCTTGGTAGATAGAGAATGTGGTTGACCCAAGTTGTTACCCCAGTAACCTCTTCTGATTGGAATAACAGATAGCTTGGCAATGATGATACCAGCTCTGATGGCACCAGCAACTTCCTTAGCAGTCTTGATACCTAGACCAACGTGACCGTTGGCGTCACCGACAACAACGACAGCCTTAAATCTGGTTCTTTGACCGGCTCTGGTTTGCTTTTGAACTGGCTTGATGTTCATGACTTCATCTTGTAGGTTTGGTAGCAAAGTGTCAATGATTTGGAATTCCTTGACTGGTAGAGAGTGTAGGAAGATTTCTTCAATGGAAGAGATCTTACCAGCCTTTACTAGTCTACCTAGCTTAGTAACTGGAACCCATCCCTTTTCTTCGGCGTTTCTACCACCTCTTCTGTCACCACGACCTCTGTTTCTACCACCGAAACCACCTCTTCTTTGTTGACCTTCTGGAGCAGACATTCTTGCTATTGATTGATTATTTCTTTGATATAGTCGGAATATGACACGGAAAGTTGATGTAGGTAACTTTCAATCGACTTAATTTAGAACACGGTTTCTTATAACTGAAGATATAAGATTAAACAAAAACAATTTTAGAATTGATGATAATTGAAAAATTTCTCAAGAGATGACGATACCTATAAGGTAAAATATAAATCTAATTTACTGTAAAAAGAACATAATAATGATCATCACACATATTCAGTGACATTAAAGCAGCTTTTGGAAAATTCTATAAAGTTTAGCAGAGCTTCTCTTCTGAATATTTTTCGTTTTACGCATCTCGCGTGCTTTCTGTTACGATTGAAAAGTTTTAAGGAAAAGTTTAAAAAATAGAAAAAAACACAAATTTACAAAGTATAGGTATGCGATGTACGGATGTTATACCAATATGTGATGTCCAGATGTTTATGAGAAGTAGTCCTATGAACAAAGTGAGTAAAACTAACAATCAATTATCATAAAGAAATAAGGATAAAATGGGTAGTTTAGGTGTATAATGTTTGAAAATAAGTGGCACAGATGTAGTATTGTAATGTTTCTTATGATCGTAAACTACTAGGTACTGATTTAACTAAGTTCAACAGATGTTAAAGGGAGAATCCATTTGGACTGTCAAATTTCTTAAAAGTCATCTACTTTTTAAATAGGAAACATTTTTAAGGATGATAATACATTTCGCAATGGATGTCATATCTTGAGTCACCTTTAGTTACTTTTGAAGAAATTGTTAGGGTTGTTTCCAACAATACAATACTCCGATTACTATCTCGGGTCTTAATTTCTATACGGAGTTTTCTGTTGCAATGATTTTGAAGTTAACTAATTGCGCATTGTGAGATGATCCTTTTTTAGGTTTAAACATATAATGTACATTTTAAATAAACATACATACAAGTAGAGCTTGACAGTTCAAAAACAGGCTTAAACATGTACGACAAATCTTACTCAGTACATAAGTTAGGAGTGAGACGTTGTGTTATAACAATTGAATTAAATATTGGGTTTTGATTCATTAAAACATATAACTTATTTCACAGAACTGATTCACTTTAAACCAACTGCATTTACATCATTAGTTACCAAATGAACGAAATATGAATATTAAAGACCAATATTTAGATACGACTAGCATTAGCAGTTTACGATCGGGAGTTAGACCAACAAAGAGTCAAACCAGTTTTAATATTCAATCAAGGGCACAACCTTCTCTCTCGATCAATCTAGATAATACTATAGTACAGACTATTATTCCACCTGTAAACAATTCTTTGAGTGGCGATATTGAAGATAATAGCTTATTACATAGCCATCCAAGATTACGATCAATGCAATCAATATCTTCTATAGCAAGTCGAAGGACCACTCGACCTAACACATCTTCAGACCAACTTAGTGTCAACACATCCTTCAATCCCATAATTGAACAGAGTTTCACGTATTGTAATAATAATAATAATAATATCGACGATCCTTCTACTATTCGAACACAGGATGCTGCATTTGGTGAGGAAATCAGAAAAGATTTGATAGATAGATTAGCCCAAAGTATTTATTCATATCCAACATCGTTGGCGGGTAATACTAACGAATTTAAACCTGTTGTAAGTAATGAAATTCCAGATGTTTTCATTAATGATAATCAAATTGGTTCAACATTCCAATCTCATGCTAAGAATTTTTTCATTTTAACTTCAGCTGGGAAACCAATATTTTCAATGTTTGGAGAAGATAAAGAAATTATTCCATACATGGGTATCATTAATACAGTGGTAAGTTATTTTCAAATTAATGAATCAACAAATATAAAAACAATAAAATTGAATAAAACGAAACAAACGTTTGCATTTACCAGTAAAGCACCTATAATATTAATGGCCTATTCTCGAAGAGGGGAAACTACAAATGAATTAATGACCCAATTAGATCTATTGTATTCATATTTAATTTCATCAATTAATGAACGTCAATTGAAACGATTATTTCATAATCGATCAAATTTTGATTTAAGAAATTTTCTTGAAGTGACAGACTTCGATAATTTAAGACAAATATGTTCTTTATTATCAAATAAATTATACCCAGATTTTGGATTAAATGCCTTACAATGTTTTGTGATGAGAAAAAATGAAAGAGCAAGAATTCATGATACAATTCATAATTTATTAATTAATGAAAATAAAAATATACCAAGAGGAACATTATTATATGGCTTAATTCTATCATATAAGAGGAAAATGTTCAAGTTATGTGCAGTTATTCGACCAAAGGGTCACTCATTACATACAATTGATCTTCAATTATTATTTAGTTTAATAACTCATCAATTTGAAAATAGAGATGGAGATCAAGAATTATGGTTACCCATATGTTTCCCCAAATTCAATTCCAATGGATTTCTTTACAGTTATATTAAATATTTATCCCGATCCAACAGCAATAACCTTGGTTCTTCATCTTCAGATATAGAAGATACTGTATTGGTACTAATTAGTGCACAGAAGGATGCATTTTATAAATTGAAGACATTTGGTGATAAATTATGGAATAAATTACAATCTGATAAATTAAATGAATATTTTATTAAAGATCGATTTAAATTTCGAATAAGTGATATTCAAGCACCTTTAGTACATCATTTCATGTATAAGATTAAAAAATATGTTCAATATGTGATGCCAGAAATCGAAATTCATAATGATGATACAAATAAATTAAATCGATATGAAAATAAACTGAAAAAATTTTATGGACATTTGTATAACTCTGTAGTCGATGATAATGGATTGCCTATCAACAAGACTATATTAAATTATTTACATTGGGAAGAAGAAGAAGAAGAAGAAGTAGAAGAAGCAGAAGGTAATGAAATTGAGAATGATTTTCAGAGAGAGAAAATTAATATGATGGGATTAATTTGGATAACGCCACAATTTGAATTATATTTGATTTGTAATAATGGTGTGAATAATAAAGAAATTGTTTTAAGAAGTGCTAAGAGAATCATTAGTTGGTGTAAAAAATATGAATCTCGGTTATTTATACAGGAAGGTGCAACATTTTAAAGCAAAAAGTCAAAAAAAGAAAAGGAAGCACTGTTTTATTTAAAGAAAGAAGTATATATATACTTATATAAAATCCCTTTAAAAAGATAAAAAGTGTACAAATATGTTAAATTAATGGTATGCACATGTTGAAATGCAGATAATAAAGAAAAAGAAGAAAAAAAAATAAATATTAATGCTGAATATAATAATAAGAAAATGCTATGTTGAAATGCAATAAAGAGATAGAGGGGAGGGGGAAATGGTTTAATCACAAAGTCATTAATAAAGTGAATATTTGATCTTCTGTTGAGACAAAATCATTATCGACAATATTAACTAGAACGTAATCATTGATCAAAGAATTTAATAATTGAATACTTTCATTATCATTATCTTTAATAAAGATTGATTTCCAATCTTCTAAAATTCTATAAAATTCTTCTTTCCAAGCTAGGAATGATACTTTCTCAACAATTGTTGGTTGCAATACTTCTCTACCAGGGAAAATCCCCCAAGTGACAGCGTTTGCCTTTGAACCATCTGGATGATTTGTTGAAAGGTTATCATTAAAATCGATTGCAAAATATGTCATAATTTCATTACCTTTTAAAATCTCTGTTAATTTTGATAATTTTTCCCTTGGCAATAAAAATTCTAAATATTGTTTTTGATAAACGTAACCATCCTTTGGACCCCAACCATGAATCTTATCATTTGATCTTTCACCATTAATTCTTGGTTGTGAGTTAATTGTAATAATACCATTTTTATTCATCATAATAAGATGTGTCAACAGGGTATCAACTTCATGATTTAAAGGGGTATCACTCCAAGGCAAACAAACAAGTTTCCCTTGTAAATAATTAATAACTAATTGACTAATATCTTGCATTGTCTTTGGAGTTGACCATAATTGTAAAGCCTTTTGTGGAGATTGTCTAAATAAAGAATATCCGACTAAATCCAAATCACCAAATGCAGGAGATGAGGAATCACCAAATCTACCATTTGGAAATTCATCAATTGTCCATTGAGACGTTCTTGCTACATACGAATAAGGTCTTCTTTGCCAAAAGATTGGTCTAACTTCTTCATTACGTCTTTGTGGATTTAAGGATTTTCTCCAAGGCAATACAGATACGGGATCATTAATGAATTCAGCTTCTGTTGGTAATAAATCTAATAATTCAAGTATCATCATTGGAGCTTTTTCAAGATTCATTGTATATAGATGTAAATGGTTAATATAGCCACTATCTAAAAGTTTTTGACACATTTCTACTACTAAATCTGTTCCTTTAGCTCTTACCAATTCATCATCATCTTTAATTGGTTCTAAACTTTGACTAAAATGTAAAGGGATATTAATTGAACCCCATTGACATCTTCTTAAGAAAGCGGAATATGTTGTAATTGGCATAATTCCGGGAATAATTGGTACTTCAATACCAAATTGTCTAACATTATGACACCAATTAATAAAATTATCGACATCATAAAACATTTGAGTAATAATAAAATTTGCACCTGCATCAATCTTTTGTTTTAAATAATTTAGATTTTTAATAGAATCTTTCTCTTCAGGATGGCCTTCAGGGTAAGCTGCGACACCGATATCAAAATGATTACCATATTTTAATCTAATATATGCCACTAAATCTTTAGCATATAGGAAACCACCTTTGCATGGTTCCCATTTATAATCATTACTTGGTGGATCTCCTCTTAAGGCTAGAATATTTTGACAACCGCTATCATAAGCTTCCTTCAAGGCGTCATCGATATCAGATACAGGCATGTTAGTACACGTTAGATGTAGACATGTTTCTAAACCCAGTACACTTTGTGCCGTAGAGACTAACTCGGTTGAGGATTGTGATAATTTACTTGTTTGACCACCTGCATTCCAAGTAACGTCGATAAATTGTGGTAAAGACGATTGATACATTCTATCCATTCTATCATATAAATTTTGCACACCTTGTGTTGTCTTTGGTACAAAATATTCGAATGAAAATGTTGCCTTTGGTGAAACATCATGGTGTTTCTGTAATTTGTCTGTAATTTTCATCTTTATCTATTTGATACTCTTTTCTTATTTACAACTAAATTAATTACATACAAAAGAACATATATAACGTACGAACATATTTTTTTCTTTCTTTCTTTTTGTACTATAACTATCTCTCTCTCTCTCTTATATATATATATATATATATATATATATAAATATATTTCAAGTGATGAGCATCGCAAGACAACAACACCAAAAAAAAGGTCAATTAACAAATCTTAAAAAAATTCTCTTTTTAAAAATATCGTGCAGTACAATAGCTCTACTACATGTAAAAAACCGGAGGGGGGGGAGTGCTTAACAACAGCCATCTTCACTATGTTCTCTCTCTTCTAAAAACCCAAACGGTTATACGTCCCAGTACTTCTATTTCTGGGTTTCCTCTCTCTTAAAGGAATCATCATACCTTTGGCCAACTCACATCCATATTAACAGTAATTAAAATAATAAATTACAAAGAACAAAGAAGCATTTGCTGAGTGTCCCGTTTTCAATAACAAATGCCCGTAGGACTCACACACACCCCTCTCACTCTCTACAGCGTTTTGTCCACCTGAAAATTTCAAAAAAAGAAGTCACATTAATAATAATAATAATGATGGGAAAAAAGAAAAACCAAGATCACTGTGTACGGATAAAGCACGTGACACATCACGTGACCGCTCGATTTAATTTTTTTTTCTCTCTCTGCCAGAACAGCGGGGTAACTGAGAACCTCTCGCGCGCGTCCACAAAACCTGCGCAGAAACAGAAAACGAGACCTCACCGAAGAAAACCGCGCGCAAAACAAGAGAATTCAATATAAATATGTACATTTTCCATCCAACGCGACAAGAAACAACGACATCCCGCGCAGAAGCACGCGCAGAGTAACACCAAACACATCTCTCATAGAGCATACTGATAGTAATAATAATCACATTGCACACATTAACAATAATAATGTATATAAATATATTACAATTTTGTACAATTTTTTGGTTTTTTCGTAATTCTTGTTTTTTCTTTCTCTTTCCGATGGGTTTAAGGTGAAAAGTGGTATAGTGAGATACATATATATATATATATATATATATATATATATATATATATATATATATATATATATATATATATATATATATATATATATATATATATATATATATATATATATATATATATATATATATATATATATTGTTATTGATAATAATAAACTATCTTCTGAATAATTTTCTTTCTTTTGTTACAGTTGGCCGACGAATTCCTGTTGGTTTTTTATTATATAACGTTTTCCTTACATTGTTGGACTTGGTTGGTGATTTTGATTCTGTTGATTGAATTGTATTCAATTTAAGAATTTCTTTCTTTAATTGTTCAATATTTTCTGTCTCTAATTTTACTTCTTCTTCAAAACTATGTTCAATCCCATCTTCTCTTAAATGTCTCAAATATGTTGGTTCCCCCATTAATCGATATATATATCCTGCTTGTGATTGAATACCAATCCATGAATCTAATAATTTATTGCTACTCTGACAGACTTTATAAATTTTATTAATATCCTTTGGAATATTATCTTTAACACTTGACGTGATTTCTTCAATTATTTTAGTTATCTTTTCTAAATTTTCTAATTCATTAATTAATGATTGTGTGGTTATAGGCGATGGTGATATTTTTGTTTGATGACGATTATATTGTAATGAATCCAAATTTGATCGTAATTCATCAAATACTTGTGGAATTAATTTATCAACACTTTGTTCTCTGCTCATTATAACGAAGTGTAACCGACTCTGCTTGTCAATATTACGTTTCTTCGACTTGTATATATCGGATTGTTCCTTTAACGTTTGTTTGTTTATATATACACTCTTTTTTTTTTGAATATTTAACGGGTTTTGCCTTTTCTTTGAAGTTTACGCATTTTATTTATTTTTTTTGCTTTCGTGATGGTTTTAAGAGAGTGAGAGATGACAGATCTCATGAAAAAACTATAGCTACTTTGGACAATAAGGCAGAGAGAAGTAATAACAACACAAGGAAAAAAAATATACAGGCGTGGACAATGGACTTGCCTATTGAAGAAGTATGTCAGAAATTGAAACTCGCATTTGAAGAACAACAAGATGATCCTGTTTCATTAGTTACAGTGATCGACCTTTTTGCTACCCAAATAGACTCAAATGGTACATTAATTGATAAAGAAACCTTTTTAAATACAATACATGATTCATTAACTGATTCGATCCTACAAGAAATTGGTTGGGATTTACCAAAGACTTTAATTAATTTTATTTCAATTAAAAATATTGAAACTGATGATACATTATCAAAAAATATTATTCTTAATACTGTGGCAAAATGTTTTAATAAAATTGCTTTAAAGGGGAACCCCAAAGAATGTTTATTAGCTGCTTGTGAACTACTATCAGATTTGAAACTTGATTCATCAAGTGAAGATTCTAATGATGCCATTGATATTAATGAATCCATATATCATCACGATAACAGCAATTCTTTAATTAATGAAAATGAAGCTATTCCAGATATTAAGATTCATTTTTTATTTGAATTGATTATTACTTGTAATAATAGAATAGATACATTATATCCATCAAAATTTTTAGCTGAAATAGTAATGGCATTTAATACATTTATGAGAAATAATAGTGAATCAATGAATGAACCATTTTTTTTCTTAAAGAGAATTTATCAATATATTATTAATTATAATAAATTACAGCATGATAGATCAACGAAAGTTAATGACCAAGATCAAATTTTTAAAGATGAATTTTATTTAGAGAACAAATTGATTTATCATTTAATTACTCATTCATTAGGTCAATGTTTAAAAAATCAACGTTTCCCATTTGATCACTATTATACAGGTGAAATGGAAAAGAAAAGTCATTTAAAAGATAATAAAAATATTATTGATATTTTTTCAAAATTTCATCTTTTAATTTTACTTTATGATATCAATTTAAAACAAGATTTTCAAAATTATATAACAGAATCTAAATTAATTTATGATAGAACTTTTGAAAAATTTAATGAATCCAAGAACAATCAAGCAGATTCAAAACTTATGGATTTCTTATGGGGTGTATCATATCATTATACTATTGAAAAATCATTAAAGGAAAAGACAGTTGTCGCGGACCCTTTAGGAATCTTAGTACTTGTTGGTGCACATTATATGGAAGAAAATACATGTATAATTCCAAATTTAACTGTTACAGATGTAATTTATTGTTATATTAGATATGTGACTACTTCATTACGTTCAAGATTATATTTTAATTCAATTGCAGAAAGTAGTTTAAGATATTGTCTATGGATAACAATTACACAAAACTCGACAAATTCAATCAAGGATGAACTAAATCGATTACCTAATGCGATAAGTACATTTTTTTTACAAGTTTTATTATTAAGAACTTGTTCTTTGCATGAAGAAGAAATTCCTGAAATATCATATACTTTATTAAGCCGTTTATTATGTTTATTTTCAGAAAAGATTTCCTTTGATTATATTATTAATGTATTAACGGAATGCCCTCATATTATTGCTAGAATAAATATTTTATCAATCTTAAAAGTAATGATGACGAAACCTATACAAAACATCGAAAAGCAACAATCCACAACGAACAGTCCCCCACAATTACCACCAAGACCTTATATTCAAGCTAACAATGATACAATACATAAAATGGTTGATGTATTCGTGCTTACGATAAATGAAATGACTCAAGACATGGATGATGAAAATTATTTAAATTTAATTTTAGATTATATGAATTTTTTTGTTAGTTTACGTGATAAATGTAATAACGATACATTATCTGTTGTTTATACTACAGTATCAAAGTTCGCAACCGATAACACTAACGAGACAAAGCTACCACAACTTGAATTCATTAAACAAGCTAATGATACATTAAAGAACTATCTACATCCAAAAGAAACATGATTGAACTTATATATATATATATATATATATAAAGACTATGTATGATCTATAACTTCTTATATCACTTTACTTAATATGCCAAAACCGGAGTACCGGCGTTCACAGAAACGTGCGTAGAAAACACACATTCTCTCTCGGATCCCAAAAGTTTTCGAATTTTTTTTCCTTTTTAGTCATCGCGTAATTGGAAGAATAATTGTAATCATCAGACTTCAATCCTTTGTTATATATATATATAAGAGAAGTGATGGTGATGATGATGATGATGATGACGATGATGATGAGGTTGCGCTGATAGTTTGTTGGTTGTGATTACGATACAAATAAAAGTAAATAGTTTGAATATAATAAAAGAAATTGCTCATATGAATAGATTTACAGGGTTGCCTGCAACTGCTGCTATACGGCATCAGCATACGTTGTTGAAGACCGCAAATTTAACACAAGCTCCAGATTTTACTAAGTATTCTCCAGTGAAACCAATTAAAGAAGGTATTGCCCCATATATTGTAGAGACAATGAAAGCGTTTCCTACAGACTCAAGATATATTAACCAACAACATTATTATCAAAATAGAAATATTTTAATGAATGATTATGCAAAGAGATCACCTCATCCTGTTTCATTAATGCAACTTGCACAGTATTATGATGATTCATCAACTTTAACAAAACAAAAAATTATAAATTCAGGAATTTTTGTTAAAGAAGAATTAGCAATAAGAATTGCATCAAAGATTAACCTTTTACAAAGTTTGCCATTTAATGTTGTTAATAATTTTCATTTTTTACAAGTTTATGAATCATATTATAATATTTTTGAAAGATTTAGAAAATTTCCAACAATTAAAACAATGGAAGATAATTTAAACTTCTCAGAATTTATAAGAAAAATTTTACAAGATTTTAATTCATTAAATTTACCACATTTAATAATGGGTGCATTAGAATGTACAATATTTGATTTATACCCAAGAGATAAAATGGACGAATTATTATCAAATTTATTAAGATCACGTATTTCAAGAAGATTAATCGTCGAAGAACATTTAAGTGTAACATCAAATTATGTTACAGGTAAGAAAGAAAATACTTTAGTTCTTGGTGATATTTTTCAAGAATGTAATGCATTAGAATACTTAACTAATGCAAGTAAAGAATGTGAACAATTTATTAAAAATATGTATTATCCATCAATACCTTTACCTGAATTAAAAATTGAAGGTTCAAAAGATTTAACATTTTATTTTTTACCAGCTCATTTAAAATATTTATTAGGTGAAATTTTAAGAAATGCTTATGAAGCAACTATTAGAGAATATATTAGAAAAGGTTTAAAAACTCCATCACCAATTACTGTTACTATAATTGAAAATCCTGACACATATATCTTTAGAATATCTGATCAAGCTGGTGGTCTAATCCACAGTGATGCAGATTTATGGTCATTTGGCAAATCAAAGGAAAGAGCAAGAGAATCTTTAAATAATTTCCACAAATTGCCGGGATTACATAGTATATCAATTTATGATGATATTGCAGATTCAAAGACATGTTTATCTCCATCAATGAAAGCAGTAGAACCATATATGAATACATCATTAGCTCATACAACTCAATGGAATATTAATAAAGGTCATTATAAATTAGAACAACCTCTGATAGAACTTCTACAAAGACCATTTAGGTATAAATTAGGAGTTGGTTTGGCAATGTGTAAAGTTTATGCCGAATATTGGAATGGTGATCTTAGAGTGCATTCTATGCCAGGTTATGGTGTGGATGCCGTTTTGACACTTGGAAATTTAATGAAGAGTACCGCTAAGAAACAACTAGATAAAGTTTGAATATCCTGTAACAAATATATAGATATATATACTCATCTCATCTGAATTAAATTCGTTTTATACATTTTCTCTTAGTGAAATAGGACCCACATCATGTTGTACGAGCAGCAGTATGAAACAATAACATTTATTAAAATTTATTCGGTGGAAAGCGAAGAGGAAAGTGGCGATGAAATCAAATTTCGCGGTTTCCAGTTTTGCTGATTAAGAAAAGGAAAACAGATTTTGGGATTTCAGGGCAAAAAAAACTCAATTAATGTAACAATAAATAAGAAGTAAAATACTATATATTACCACTTAACGGCTTACAAAGAGAGTAACAATAAGTTAGCATAGATTTTTTAACAAGAGAGAAGTGGTAGAGGGTTTTTTTTTGCATATCGTTACTAATTTTGGTTTTTTTTATTTTTGTCATCATTTAATTTTGGGGTTTCTATTTATCACAACATCAGCCTTTTTCCATTTAAGTTTATTTTACCACATTTTGATATATATATATATATATTTTGGTTAATCAAATTTGTTTAAAATACCACCATAAATCGTTAATTATTTATAATCATGTCAACTCCAGCCAGAAGAAGATTGATGAGAGATTTCAAGCGTATGAAAGAAGATGCGCCACCAGGACTTTCAGCCTCTCCACTACCTGATAACGTTATGGTTTGGAATGCTATGATCATTGGTCCCGCCGATACACCATATGAAGATGGTACATTCCGATTATTGCTAGAATTTGGAGAAGATTATCCGAATAAACCACCACACGTGAAATTCTTAAGTGAAATGTTTCATCCTAATGTATACGCTAATGGTGAAATTTGTTTAGATATTTTACAAAATAGATGGACTCCAACTTACGATGTTGCATCGATATTAACTTCTATTCAAAGTTTATTTAATGATCCAAATCCAGCATCCCCAGCTAATGTAGAGGCTGCAACTTTATTTAAAGATCATAAATCTCAATATATTAAAAGAGTAAAAGAAACCGTTGAAAAATCATGGGAAGATGATATGGAGGATATGGACGATGATGATGAAGATGATGATGACGACGATGATGACGAAGAAGATGGAGAATAACTTTAATA